GAAGAGCTGATCACCGAGGGCAGGAAGCACTGGGAGGGTGGGGGAGGCACTGATCCACGGGGCTTCCAGTGCCCGTACACACATTCTGTGAGGATGCATTTAAGTGAAGCAGCGAGTTTCCAGCAGGCACTCTTGAGCGCTTATTTTCATTGCACTGAGCAGTCACTTTATAACATTGGTGATGAGGAAAAACATAAAACTGGTGACTTCTGGGAAAATTGAAGTTTCCTGTAGAAAGTGAGGATTGGCATTAATCTATGGAAAGACGGAGCCAGTGATTTCCTTGTAAATGAGATTATAAATAAAAGACAGATGGAGGGATATTCCTCAGCAGCTGCTTAAATAAAACCTACTCTCTCTTCAGGCGTTTGTTGCACTCCCAGGAAGCAGGAGGTAAAACTTCAGAAGATCTGCAAGAGATCTGAACAGAGCGAGCACAGACACCACAGCCAAGCGTTACCGTAGAACATTGCAAGTGTCATTGCACAGTGAAGAGGTGAAACCGTAGCTGTGTATGTGGAAGAGCTAAAACTATTAGCTGACTAGCGCTCGGTTGGAAATGTCCTATATGCTGCAGGGCACATTAGTAACACCACAAACCAATGGGGGAATTCAAAGCCGATTGCTGGCAGAAGGGGACGTAACCTGGCCCAAAGCAACAGACTGAGCAACAGCATGGAGGCAGCAGTGGAAAAAAACTTACAAGCTTTGCACTTAAAATGCAGGGACAATCACAGTGACTCAGGCGCCTGAGATGTGTTTCCACCTCTGTTTGTAACTTTAAAATGGCGGATCTCAAGCCCCGGAGGGCAGGGCCGGATTTACACCTTATGCAGCTCTAGGCATAGCATCTTCAGTGCCCCCTCCCCCCGCCTACAACTGACCTTCATGTTGCACACAGTTTTAGAGAGGTAAAGTGCCCGTAGGATGCCCAGTGCCCCTAGACATGTGCCTATTATGCCGATTTGGAAATCCGACCCTGACGGAGGGTAGACCCCAGTGGTACGTCTACACAGCATACTAAGCCGGAGCTCTGACTCAGGTTTAAGACCAAGCCCCACTTCTGTCCACACAGAATTTAGTTTGACTCAGGCTTGCAGAGCCTGCTAGGGGATGGGGTCAGAGCCAAAGCCCCACTGTGATGCAAGTCAGAGCCCAAACGCTTTGTAGTGTGGATGCAGCTCAGCTCCATGTCACCTGACTCGGGTGTGGAGAATCTGCAAACACTATCTAACAATCCCCAGGGACCGTGCTTCCCGGCCCTTCAATTCCAAAACTTGCCACTTGCTTCCCAGGAACCTTATGTAACATGGGGACGCTGATAATGGCCTCCTTTGTAAAGGACATTGAGACCTTCTGAGGAAATGAGCTACAGAAGAGGTAGGTGGTCTTAGGGCGCAAGTCCAACACAGGCTGATCTGGCCCCTCTCCTCAACACAGCTGCTCTGGAGATGAAAGGCTCTTGGTATCTCCTCAACCTCCAGGCCCTGTAATGTCCTAGGGACGATGCCCCTCTGGGTTCCTGACCAGGACGTCGGTTATTCCTTCCCCTGAGAATT